CACATGGACACACCACCAAACACAAACATCCCCTCCTTGGTTGTTTAATTTCACACTTAGGTGGGCGGGCACTTGACCAAACGGTTTGTATACAAGCAACCACAGTCAGTTTCACACAACATGTCCCCTTTAATTTACCAAGTGAAAAATGTATGACCCACATCACAACAGTATGATGTGTTTCGCAATTCAGACATCTGCAATATTTGCTTTTTGCCGCTCCAAAAAAACGGCTGCAAACACAAAACGCAACAATGGCAGGTGAGCATTGTGTACCGCCGTGCTGTTAGTAATTACAGCGGATAAAAAGAACAATGTGTGTGACAGGTGTGTGTGTTTGACTGTGGAAGCACACTGTGTGCTGTGCGGCTGGTAGTGACAGTCAGAGAGACCACGTCATGCACTTTAGAGCGCCCCATAATACATTGTAACGCTCTCAAATACATGGAGCATTACCACATATTAAACTCAGGCGTCCTCAAGGCCCCGCACGCGTCCATGCACATGTAGCCGTATTATATTCAGCTATGCGGGGTCTTTGCTGAGCTTTCGCATGAAAATAGAAAAGCAAAAGCCAGCTCCCGTTATGCGGCACTGTGAAAGTCTAAAACGGCAACATTCAGGTCTCCAACGCCATGCCTTCGGTCTTCAAATTCTTCTCAGGCTTAAACCCAAACCAGAGAATTCCCGTCTTTCCTCACAGCGGATAATTGGTCGCGAGGTGCAAATTTAACAGGCCGCGAGCCAGACTCCTGCCACGGGGTCCACTGGTCATGATGGGAGCATATTTGCCAGCCACGGGGGGCATGAGTCTGATTCTTGGCACACATGAACAGCATTGCTCACATGATCGCTACTGCCAATCCGGATGACGTTTAAAAAAACAAAAAAAAAAAACAACATTGCAACAAACCACAATTCCTTTGGTCTGCATTTAAAACCCATAATGAATGCCTTCCAAGCATGTTGAAATATGACAAAAAAATCAACAGCTATTCAAGATATTGGAAAACAACCCATTAGCAAACAAGATGATGATCAACTTACCTGTCCGAGGTCCAGAGTGACATTTACCTCGTTGTAGCCTAACCCCTTGGATAGAGGGGGGCTCTGCCACCAGCGCTCTGTTCCATCAATAGCGTTGGTCACTGGGTAGGCTTTGTTCACATCAGCCGCGTTGCAGTAGTCACAGAACTGGCCCTGTGTAATATCAAAGATTTGCTTATGACAGGAACTTCAAAATATGACTCTTCATTATCAACTGCCACCAAGCAAAATGTCTCGAGAGTTTTTTTTCTACGGCTTTTGGTGCTGTTTTGGGTCACTTGCAAAATGGCACTTGTCGTCTATATCAAGGGAAGGGATTCATTTGTAGAATTGTTCTTTTTTTCAAAGACAGTGAACTATTATTCATCATAAGAGATACATTGCAGACCCAGCCACAACAGATGAAAATTTGTGATAGTGATAGATCTTAAATAAAATGTATTTATTACTCCAACACGCTTTAGAGAGATAGATAGATAGATAGATAGATAGATAGATAGATAGATAGATAGATAGATAGATAGATAGATAGATAGATAGATAGACTCACTGGACACATTTTGAGTGTACTTTCAAAAGGTGATTGCAGATTTAATTAATGCTGAACGTGTTAAACATGTTAGACAAGTGTCTATCGTGCCTTGGGGGATATAAATGCACTTTTGGAGTTAAATATGGGTCTGCCTTTGTGCGCTTTTGCACTTTTTTTTTTTTTGTAGTTTGGAAGCCCAAGTGTAAATTTTGGGCCACTGCTAAAGGTTACTTTCCAGTCCAATTAATCGCACCATGGAATGTTAGCCTCTATGCAGGGACATCCCATGTGGAAGTTTGTATCTCAGTCATGGACATCTTTCATGAGCAAAAAATAAATAAAATCACACAAGTATACTGGAAGAACATGTTACAGCCATATCATTACTTCATTTTAACATGTAGGGGACAGGTCCAAATACAAGTACCGTAATCCCAAATAGAAGGCAGAAAGAAAACAAAAGCATGGAAAAGCAAGATATTATGTCTCCAGAGATTAAGTTTAGACCTTAAGGAAAAGACATTCAGAATGGTGGCTTTGTAATGTTACTACTGTATAGATGGTCATGTAACTTACCCGAATATTCTGAGTGACTAGTCCAGTGGTTGGTCCCCCGACAAGTTTACAGTACAAATCAGCCCTAGGCGTCCCGAACTCATCCTTCCCGCAGGTTGCTGTTGCAGAAATCCTGGATCCTTGCGCCAGGTTGAAGTACGGGGGGCTCAAACTAAAACCAGTGAGTCCATTGAGCGTTTCTTGTGCACGCGTGCACCTGCATACGATAAAAGCGAGTAAAACTGCGAGGAGGTGAGCTCGCGTCACCTCTCTCCCCATGTTCCACACTGGAGGTCCCGACTGTGGGTCTGGTCATCTGGAGAACCACGAGGAGCGCCGCGTCCTTGTGGGCTGCGCCATTTACGCGCGATACTTCCTCAGCAGAACCCTTTGCCCAAGTCCAGCCTTTACCGAGAGGAGGAGGAAATGTCCCGGGGACGCATGTTTCCTTGCGAAGAGCTTCAGGTATTCTATTGTCATGCAGAGAGGTTCCGCTCACTGACGCTCTCAGGTGTCACACGTCGACTAGTTGTGACTGCTTGTGTGGTCCTCCTGTCACCATTTGTCAATCCGTGGTGGCAAAACCTACTGACTCTTTGTACGAAGAAGCACAGTTACTTGTGTAAAAAAAAACAAAACAAAACAAAAAACGATATACTATGGCAAACGAGGAACTGATTTAATTTATAGACTTAAACAAAAATGAAAAAGTATATCATGAACAGAGCTAACAAGAAACCATTTAGATTAAGCATAAACAAAAGCAGGCCTCATATACTATGGCAAACGAGGAACTGATTTAATTTATGGACTTAAAAATGAAAAAGTACATCATGAACAGGGCTAACAAGAAACCATTTAGATTAAGCGTAAACAAAAGCAGACCTGAACTAAAAGTAAAAATGTTTGTCTTTACTGTCAATTATATACGTTGCCGATTTTCATAACATTCTTGTCTTTACTGTCAATTATATACGTTGCCGATTTTTTGTCGTAGCACAACAACAACATAACATTATGTCCACACTAAATATTTCCCTCTTTTTATGCAGTAATGAACTTGCATATGGTGCCATAAGAAAATGATATAAGGTACAGAGATCCGTTTGTAAACGAAGGGAGTAGAGGTAAAATGTCGTCTATAAAAGTAGAAGTAAAGTACAAATACCTGAAATTTCTATTTACATTCTTGTCTATATTAGCCCATTTGTATTTCCTTATTTCCTCACCGTTGTGCTGTGATTGGCATACACTTTTATAGTAAAATAACATCAGGTTTTTTTCGACAGTTAACTTTTGGAGACTTTACAAACTTCAAACAAAAGGGGTTATTGTCGTGGCGTTTCTGCACATCTCTTGTAATCATAAGCGGATAAAAATTGTGTGTGCGCGTTCGACTCCGTTTAAATAACAGCAATTATTGTGGAATATAAAACCGAAATCCGGTTTTTGGCGAGGTAATTTAGGTAGGTCACCAGCCGTGTCGAAAACTAGAACGCTGCTTCCCTCTAGTGTCTTTACTGTGTATAACTTTTTTTTCCAAGGGCGTGACACAAACCTCGAGTTTCGGATGTCCAAGTGTAACGACAGCGAGCTGACTGTGTCGTCATTTTGGGACGAGTGCTATTTTTTTAAGTACGAAACATTGATGTTTGAATGCATTTCTATGGTCGGTGAGGAAAAGCAAAGGCTTCGGCATTGCAGTGTTTGTTTGGAACTTGCGTGACAACAACTTGTGACTCACTCACTGGACGGCATTGTTGAGTGTGTGGCACGCGCGCGCGCGCACGCACGCACGGACGGACACGCTAATCCAACCAGGAACTTCCAGTGCGCTGTCACTTCGTTTTTCAACAAATTCAATCCAAGGTTTGAATTTCGATTTGTTGCTTTTGGGGTCGGCCGGACTCCGACATGGAGCCCACCAATCTGCAGGTAGGATGAACGAACTTTCGCTCTTGTTTTAATGTTCACCGTAAAATAATGACAAACTAAATTGTCTTTTAGTGAACAAATCAAGTCCTCTTATTCACTTTCAAGCCTAGGAAAGCTCAAGCTTTGACTGTGAACAATGAATTCAACAATACAGCCGACCAGCCATTTTTGAAATGGAAGCAGCGCTTTTGGTGACTGTCCCGGCGGCACGTTGTTGACTGTTGTTGAAGGTTCACAAGGGCAGCCTCTTCACATTATCCCAATACTAATCATAACATCGGTGCCCCGCGTCCTGCAATAAAAGTGAGCTATTCCATGATTAAAAAAGTATTTGTTGCCCCGCCCATGCTAATTGCAAGCTTCTGCGTGGCATGATATCCAAATTGTTTTAATCATAATAATAACGCACGAAAAATGTATTTATATATCTAATGAATTCTGAACATGAATGGCAAATATTTTGCGTTTCATATATTTCATTCCGTCCATTGATTATCATTAGATTATTTGTTTTTCCCCACTTAACCAAACAAAAAACAAACCACATCCTTTATCACCAACAGTAGTGAGATACATTTTTTTTAAATCTATATTTTGTGAAGAGAACACATCTATACTCTCCTCCAAGTGTTTTGGGACAGCGAGGCCGTTTCTTTAGTTTTGCTATCAACTCGAAACGTTTGGAATGGACAACAAAAGTTGAACGATAAATGATCAACATTTCAGGTTTTATTTCCACCTATTGACAATTGGATCTGATACACAATACAGCATAAGAAACAGCCATTATTTGTAACAAACAATATTTTTATAGGTGAGCAAAAATACTGTATTGTAATCGATGGACTTAAAATACATGAACATGAAAACAGTAATACCTTATATTTTGCTGCAATTCCTTTGCTGGTCTACCCAACCTTGTTCATTCTTCTTTTTGCTTTCCCAGGCTTTCCAATGCTTTAAGCTCAGCTTGTTTTGGTTGTTTGTTTTGACCAGTCACCCCCTTCAATCTCCTCTTTAGCAGGTAAAATACATGCTCTGTAAGGTTTAAGTCTCAGGATTTACATGGGCAGTCCAAAATCTTCCACTAATTTCCCCTGAAGAAAAGAAAAAAGAAGTCGAAGCAATGACATTAGCGCCGCTGTTTCATAGTTCAGCTTGTAGGTTTGGGATCAGGAGCAGACCCTTTTTTGTTAAAATCTTAAGCCTTATAATTGGCTGAAGTTTAACCTTGACAGCTCTCACAATGTTTCTGTCATCAACCACTGCAGTTGCCCATTTTTCGTTTGTTACTTAGTACACCAGTGGTGTCTTTCCTCTTCAGGACATTCTAAATGGTTGCGTTTGCTCCGACCAATGTTTGTGAACGTCTCTCGGCTTCTCAATTGCTTGTTCTTTACTCATATCCACTCCCTCGTTTCCATGTTGGTTACATCTGTAACGCGTATTCAGTTATTATTTTTTTTCAATGGTCAATGTATTAGGACACACCTGAGAAACAAAACATACCTGTCAGTCACTTACTCCAATACTTGACATCATTTGAAAACTAGATGGGTTATAACAAAAATACCACGTTCATTGATTTACCCCACCCTCTCTAAATATTTAAACAATTCTACATCCATTTATTATCGGATGCAGGGGTAAAGAATGGAAAATAAAAGGTGAACTGTTGATCTCTTGACACATATTCATCTTTTGATGTCAAGCACAAATGTTGTCACCCTAAAGCAAAAATGAAAGAATTGGCCTCACTGTTCCCATTCTGGACCTTTGGAAGGGATTGTAGTGGTCCAGTTAAGTAAATAAGTGCTGTCTACTTTACACTTAATAGATACAACTGCCCAATCCAGACAAATCCAATACAAGAGCTGTACTACAGAACAATAATAAATGCCTTGTTTCTGCTAACGTTGTCAGACAGGTATCAATTTCACAGGATGTTAATTATTGGGGCTGTCGTAATATTGGGCTGCTTCTAACATTTCGCTCCTCATATGCAGCCCAATAAGCAAATCACAAAGAACAAGGAACACGTTTCAAGCGATCATGATTATGTTCTTTCAGAAAGCCATCGCAGTGGCGCAGAAGGCCGCGCAAGAAGACCAGGCGGGGAACTATGAAGAGGCCATTCGCTCCTATAAACACGCTGCCAAGTACTTTCTCCACATTTTAAATCGTGAGTCACCAAGTCAGGTAACACATTGTGTCCGATGTTGTTCAGAAAGGCTCCGACTAGAAGCTTCACATTACAGACATGGATGTTAGTCACTGTGATTGCCCAAAGTTTCGATAAAGGATGCATATTGTTCTTCTGTGAACCATGAAACCTTAAAATTCAAACTCCCCTGAAGTTGTACAAACCCACGTCATCGATATATGTGAGACTTCAGCTCAGTGAGGCTCATTATGATTAATTCATGCATTAATTAAAGTGTGTTTGGGTGTTTTGGGGGGCTTGTGTGATGATGATCAACATTACAGGTTTCACTGTGCTTGTCAGACCTTGTCTCATCGATGACAAAAGAATGGATCTCTCTGTTGAATGCTAATGAACATGATGTCTTTCTTTCTATCAGGTGAACCACAGGGTAAAGATGGCAATCAGAAAATCAGAGAAAAATGTAAGGAGTACCTGGATAGAGCGGAAGAACTACACGAGTACCTAGAGTATAAAGAGGTTGATACAGATTTATGTTTATTGTGCAAATGTATAAATAACTATAGACATAGAGGACTATTTAACCATCCTGACAGCTTTTGAGGTTACGAAAGGTGCACACTTAACTAGTTTTTCAGAGTGGCAGAAGATTACTCTGTTGTCATGCGGCACAAGAAGGCACACTAAGTTACCACCATACAGGACCCCCCTCCCCCTCCATTTCATGTATTTATTTAATATTCATGTCCTGAAGTTTTTTTTTTTATATAAACATTTCTTGTAACTGTGACTTTTTGTACTAATGTAGGTTAGTGATAAACTATACTGTGGGGTTGGAATACTGGTGCTATGCAAAGGTGTTTAATGTACCCACACTTGGTAAGTGGAAGCACCTATTCAAGTGTGACTGTCAATCAAGAGTTCAACCACGATGACTTACACTTTCCCTAAGTTATATTTTTTATTTAATTTGCAGAATCTCCAAAGAGTAGCAAGACGAAATTGACAGCGTAAGGAGTAGAATGTAAAGGTGTTTTCAAACGTGAGAGAGTAAAATTAAAAACTTTGCCAGTAAATAAATAAATAAATAAATAAATAAACGATCCAGTGACGTTGGCTGAGCGTCATCTGCGTCGTGACGTCACCACATTCCCGGTGCGCAAGTCGACGCTTTTCAATGCGGAAGTTCCCTCCTCGAAGCAAGTCGGGGACGATTTCAGAAAGGAAAACAAGCCAAAGAGTTGCTAGAATTATATGTTGACGAGTTCACTTCTCAACTAAGTTTTAAAAGCAGACTCTGTCGAAGATCTTTCGATCGTTTCGGCTATCGGACAACTGATCAGCCCTCATGGCTACCAACAACAATTTACAGGTAAGTAAACGCTCAAACCCGAAGCTGTCGAAAGGATTGATGAATAACTTACGATTTTCCGCGACAACATAAAATACGTTTGTTGTTTTGTCCTGGGCTGTTGTTTTTTGAAAAACCTTGTTTAGTAGTTGGACGACTGTCGAAAGACGAAAGATGTGCTGCTAATTAGCCATTTTAGCTCACTTAGCTGTTGCTAACTTTTGTTGTTATTTGGTAAAAGTCGTCCGTGGACCGCTAAAAGTATCTGCCATAAAATCCTTTACGCACAATAAAGCAGTCCCAAAACCTTATGTTTAATTCCGTATCCGACAGTGTGTCCCAACCGTGAGCTTTGGTTGACAGCGCGGCTAACGATCCAACTAGCATGTTGTTTTTTGGCCCGTACGGTGACTCCATTTTACAGTCGAGAAGAGCATTGTCGTAATTATATCACAAATCGGCTGTTATGTTTAAAGATAGCTTCAGAGTCATGGTGTAAAGAAAAACAGAAGCCAATAGGAAGTGGACACCGTCGTCAGGTGATGGCACTCCTACCTTGATGTCGTCACACGGAACCGCTGTGTGCCTTTTAGTACGCAACGTCAGGTGGAACATGAAACTCAATTTAACTAGTACTCGTGTATGCAAAAATTCAGATTAACATCGCACATCCTTTGGGTGGAATCATTCAAATGTTTGGACGTCTGAGTTTTCAAACATCAGGGACCTCGCACATGAAAAGGAGGAAATCACTATATGCACCATATGCAAAACGATGTATGTCTATTTTAGTACTAAGGCCAACATGGTATCCTTAAGACTTAAGCAAAACACAAAGAAGAATAGTATTATAATGCTACATTGTGGTATAAGTCCTTCCCTTATTGTTTTTATTGCGGCAAAAAACATTCACTATGGGGACCCTGGATGTTATCCAAGCAGTTTTGGGAGGAAAACGAAATCGTAACACATCCTGCACCATAGGACAGACAAACTACGATAATCGTTCAGAGACATCCAATGAGCAGGCCTATGTTGATTTTGATTCCCATTTGCAAGGGAGGGAAACTGCTCTAATTTGTCTCTCTTGTTGGTATGTGTAAAACCTCAAACGGTTCTCTTGTGTTTCTTTGTTCCTAGAAAGCCATTGATCTTGCCAGCAAGGCGGCTCAGGAGGATAAAGCTCAGAATTATGAGGAGGCTCTGCGGATGTACCAGGCAGCTGTACAGTACTTCCTCCATGTGGTCAAATGTAAGCCCTCAGTGACAAAATTATCTACATTCAGCCTACAAAGATGGCAAAGCTTTGAAATGTCATGCTGTGTTTCTATATGGTCGCTTGATGTTCTCCGGACTCCTTCCAGATGAAGCTCAAGGTGAAAAAGCGAAACAGAGCATCCGCGCAAAATGTGCCGAATATTTGGATCGGGCAGAGAAGTTGAAGGAGTATCTCCAAAAGAAAGAGAAAGCTCCACCTGCTAAACCTGTCAAAGAGTCGAGTGACAAAGGGTGCGTTTGTGGGTGGGGCAGTGATGTATGGACCCATTCAGATCAGAATTAAGATCCTCAGTCTTGTTGATTTTGTTTGTTTGTGTGCTCAGGAATGATAGCGATGACGCTGATGATCCAGAGAAGAAGAAGTTGCAGAATCAACTCTCGGGTTTGTTATTTGCCTACTTGGGCAGTATGTCGTGAATCACAGCACAACATTAAACTCGAGGGGATTTGTTTTGAATCATGGCTACGTTAGCTGCAGTGGAATCACCAAAATTGAGCACAATCTTACTCCTGACACGCGTTAAATTGATGTAATCAGTTTTTTTCCCCCCATGGGAAATAATATGGTAAATTAATTTGTTTCAGGTGCAAACTGTCGCCATCATTAACTTTTCTTCATTCATTTAAGAATAATTTTACCATTCTTAACTGCTATACATATACAAGGAGGACTTAACGACTGTATCATAAACCCAAGTAAATAATATAAAGTAAAATTGCTCACTTTTGGAAGCCCAGCAAACACAAGCAAGCACAGGAAAGGGTTTGCAGAGCCATCCCTTGACCTAGGGGAGTTTTCAAGGTTTTCTAACTGTTGTGTAGTGTATAATAAGTGTAGTGGTTCAAAAAACCCAAAAACACTTTGGTTAGTGTCTAAGAATAGAGGCTAAAGTACTAGGGAGTAAATGCATTCAAAGACAATTCATTAATCCGAAACTGGTTCAATGCCCATTTTTAAAAGTCGTCTTAAAATTCATTTTTATTCTTTGACTTTTGACTCAGCATGACTATTTTTAGTTTTACTGTTTTTATGCGTTCTGCTGTCTTTGTTATTAATTTATGGTTTTGGTTGTTGTTGTCTGAATTACTTTTGCTCCATGTACAGCACTTTGTATACAGCACCAGTTGTTTTAAAGTGCTCTATAAATACAGTTGAGTTGAGTTATTCAGGAGGAACGAAGCTTGGTTCCTGGGAAACACTGCGGGTGTTTCTTCTTGGTGCCATTTGTTTTCAGTTATTCTATTCCTTAATTTTCAGTGTTTCTGCAAGTGAGATAGCCAGTCTAAAATGTATTTGCGTTTGGCACCGGGCAAAGGTTGGAGGTGAAAATGAGCAGGTTAGCTTGAGACCTTGACATGTCTTGAATACGAGGCAAAATACAAAAGGCATGGTTCGTTTGTGATCTGCTTTTTGTACAATCTGTAATTGATATTGATCAGGTATTAGCTTTGCACATAATCTCCTGGGCAGCCAGACATCATTTATGTTGCCGAAGGTTCCATTTTCAAAAGCGCACATTGAGTTCATCCTTTCATCTTAAAAGGTTTGCTTTTGCCCTGTGTGATGTCACAAACGAAGTTCAAGAAAATGTTTGAATTTTAAGGAATATTTGGTCGAAATCCAAATAAAACAACTTTTGATGCGGCCAAATTATGTAGTGTGTTACTTACCGTTCTCCAAGCAGCTTTTTTGGCAATCTGTTATACTATTTTTTGTTTTTGTTTTCTCCCCATCTCCAGGTGCAATTGTTATGGAAAAGCCAAACATCAAGTGGGATGATGTTGCCGGCTTAGAGGGCGCCAAGGAAGCCCTGAAAGAAGCTGTGATTCTCCCCATTAAATTCCCTCATCTATTTACAGGTACAGTATACAATTTAGTGTTCAGACCAGGTCTTGTGTTCCGAACCACTAGTTAAGTTCCAATGACGGCTTTGGTGATTTGAAGGCAAGAGAACACCATGGAGGGGCATCCTGCTCTTTGGACCTCCGGGTACAGGAAAGTCTTACCTTGCAAAAGCTGTCGCCACAGAGGCCAACAACTCGACCTTCCTGTCTGTCTCCTCGTCTGATCTTGTTTCCAAATGGTTGGGAGAAAGTGAGAAGTAAGTTCCAATCGAAGGCCAGAGTGAAATAAGACAAGTCTGATCAAACGTCATGAACGCCTGAGCTCTCTCTCTTTCATCCAGGTTAGTTAAGAATCTGTTTGCCCTCGCGAGAGAAAACAAGCCCTCCATTATCTTCATTGATGAGATCGACTCCCTCTGCGGCTCCAGGAGCGAGAACGAGAGCGAGGCGGCGCGACGTATCAAGACAGAGTTCCTGGTGCAGATGCAAGGTAGGTCTGATGAGCTACAACCTTTGGTGGATGAAACCTGAAGCACTCACTTTTCATCTCTTCCATGTAAGGTTGGTCAAAACAAGAGAAAATAAATTGCACATTCGAAAAGGAAAAGAAGAAAAGTATTCAATACACCACCCATATCCTTAACAATACTTTTACATTTTAAACCAAAAAAAGGTTTCTTAGCCTGAAAATATAATCGTGAAAAAATGACTCCCAAAGTGGAGGTTTTTGACTTGGATGACATTATTCGTTCAAGTGGAAACGCTGATCATGGTTGTCCTTGAAAACATAGCTGTAGCTTTTGTTCTTACGTCTACAGCAACAAAAAAAAAAATCCTAAACTTGCTTCGCTACAGTAAATAGTCTATTTAACTTTTTCATTTCCTTCTTCAAAGTCAGAACCTCGCATTACGCCTTTAAACAATTTGGGGAAAATACAGATGACGGCATGTCTTTGAAATCTTCTGGTAGGTTTACCAACAACATTGGAGTTAGAGACACACGTGGATGTATTTGAAGGCACACCGAAATGCGCTGCTTCTTTATGTCACATGGACCAAGTCAAAAGAAAACGGCGGAGATATGAGGAAGAGAATTGTGCGCAGGCACAAGTGTGGTTCATCCTTGGTTGCAATTTTCAGATGTCCCGAGGGTGCCACATCATCTCTTCAAACAAATAAGACGCGAATATTAACACTATGGAAATTTCCAGCCATCATACCACTCAGGAAGGAGATGGGTTCTGTGTTCCATAGATGGAACGAGCTTTGCTACGAAATATGCATATCAACCCAAGAACTAAAGTACAAAACCTTGTGAAGATACTGGCTGAAGCTTGTATCATGAGCCACAGGCAGATCCTATAAGGCAGGGGCCGGGAACCTTTTTGACTAAGAGAGCCATAAAAGCAAAATATTTGGAAATGTATTTCAGTGAGAGCCATATATATATATAAACTGTATTTTAAAAGTGAGTTCAACAAAATGTCAGTATAATAAGCCTCTGAATGTATTCTTTAAAATAATTTTGTGATACTACTCACCATTGATGTGAATGGTTTTCCGTACCTCACGATTGCTAAAAATCCAGCAAAACTATCGGAACGAAAGTCATCTTGCCGGGTCCATACGCGAACTTACTGCTGGCTAGCTTGCACACTGCTCAGTAGCTTGCACGCTTCCTTTCGGCCGTCTCTCGCACAATATTTTGATGCGAACGTTAAAGTGCCGCTCTGCATTCGACCGTTTCATCGATGGTATTTTCTCATTGCAAATCAGACACACCGCAGAACCCGTTCTCTCCACAAAGGCGAACCCTTCGGTCCATTTGTCCCGAAGTCTACCAACCTCGTCATCTTTTTTTCTTTTCGCCATCTTATTCGCTTAGGATTAGCTTTGAGCTAATGGCCGAGCGGGTATATTCAAAAGGGGGCGTATACCTGTTTCCACAGCAACGGCAACGTTGGCCAGTATCATCCAATCAAAATGGCTCCTGGAGCCAACTGCAGCCCGAACGAGATAATGAGCAGTGAAAAATCGATCGATGGATGCATTAATAAACAAGCCAGAATGTGTGTATGTGTGTGTGTGTGTGTTTGTGTGTGTGTGTGTATTTTATATGCGAGCCAGATGCAATCACCAAAAGAGCCATATATGGCTCGCGAGCCATAGGTTCCCGACCCCTGCTATAAGGCAGATGCACACAAGGGCAATTACCTTATTTTTTAAGACTCAACTCAACTTTGCTTGTAAAAACATGTCCCCGGTGGTCTGATGAGACAAAAACTGAACTGTTTTGCCACAATGAGCATTGTTACGTTTGGAGGAAAAAGGAAAAACATGTGGTTGAGTTGCTTTTGCTGCACGAGGTACTGGTTTACGTAACAAGGTAGATGGTATCGTGAGGAAAGATCAATTTGTGGAAGTAGGAAAGCAACACGTCAAGACATCAGCCAGCAAGTTAAAAGTTTGGGCACAAACGGCTCTTCCAAATGGACAATGACCCAAAGCAATCTTGCCAAACTGGTTACAAAGCGGCTTAAGTCGAGTAAAGTCAATGTTTTGGCGTCGCCTTCCACAAGCCCCTGATCTCAAGGCTCTTAAAAATGTATGGGCTTATGTGTCTTTTGTTCTTTTTAAATATATTTATTGTGTATCTAAACTTCTGGTTTCAACTGTATATTGAGACTGACAGACATTTTAACACACAACCAACTCAAAGTCACCCTCATGTTTCGCTGCTGCTTATTTTTAAAGGAACTAAAGTGTTGTGTTGCAGTGGCTGGTAAACAGGCGTGAGCAACCCAGCAAACATTCCACTTGTGTTTTAATTTCTAGCCAATGTTCACTCTGCTCGAGACGCTGACAGCTTAGCTTCCACCCCTCCCCTATCTTTCCATCACCCAGTTAAAATGTTAACAATGGATTGCTAACTGGATCACATGGGGCAGAAAAAAAATGCGGCTGCTGCTCGACTATAAATAGAAGCGAAGTTTACGAGACGTGCACTTGATGCCACCAATTCTCTGGTATTTCACATCACGCAAAAAAATATTTGGAAATTAACGATTTTTACCAAAAGGTTGGCTGTTAAATCTCATGCTGAATGCATTTTAGAGCTGACTACCTCGTTTACGGTTAACACGTCTACCTCTCGGTTCTGATACTCCAGCTTCCTCCCACATTCGAAAGGTAAGCTTGCTAAGGTCACTGAAGCCTCTCAATTGACCATAGGTGTGATTGTGAGTGTTATTTTTAGGAGTGCCCAATATGTGCCCGATACTCAAATCAATCGCACCTCTTGAAACTTTGAGAGAAATAAAATGGCTCCCACACTATTTTTATAATGCGACATAAAATTGAGTGGACATGGCTGTCTTAACCGGATGGACAAAAAAAAAGTCTCAAGGTTTCTTTGTCCAAAAAAGGTCAGCCATTTTAGTTTGAAGCACACATGTTGGGGTGAATTCAAGGTGGTTGTAAGTATGATGATATAAAATACAAGGAATAAGCCCTCCAATGGAATTGAAATTCCATCAATGTTTTCGTCGTCAACTACCTTGTTTGGTCGAATTTTGGAGTTGTCAATTTGTAGTAGTGGAACGCTTAAAAGACTGCAAGGCAAAGTGTTCTCAACAAACAAATAGAAGTAGTTGAATAAAGCGTGTTTCGTATTCAGTCAAAGTTTATTTACCTTTTAGAGTAAGACTAACCTGTAAAACCAAAACAATTACATATAATCCGATTTATAATTTTTTTGGGTGGGGTATTGTAATCCAGATGAATGCATTGCTTGTGTTAGTTACGTGGAGGACGTTAACAAAGTAAATGCTCATTAAATCACAATATTGAGCAGGAAAAAAATGGCATGAGATCATTTTTTTCCCCAAATCATTCAGACCTACTAATATAATCTTATTCCAGGTGTTGGAAATGACAATGACGGAGTGCTGGTACTCGGGGCGACAAACATTCCGTGGACCCTAGACTCTGCCATCAGAAGAAGGTTAGTGGCTCGACCCGAGTTTGGTGCGAGTTGCATAGCGTACACACGTCATTGTCCACACTCACCTCTGTTTAATCAAACCATGTTAGATTTGAGAAGAGGATCTATATTCCACTGCCAGAAGAGCACGCTCGCAGCTTCATGTTCAAGCTCCACCTGGGCTCCACCCCCAACAGTCTGACCGACTCTGATTTTGTCACACTGGGCAAGAAAACAGACGGCTACTCAGGCGCGGATATCAGTATCATCGTGAGAGATGCGCTCATGCAGCCCGTCCGAAAGGTCCAGGCGGCAACCCACTTTAAAAGGGTAACCTTTTTTTTTTAATAGTCATGTTGTTGCTTGAGAACTGATGTACCGTTTCCTCCGGACTTATATCACATTGTTGGGATTGGTTGCGGTTTTTAAGGTGAATGGACCATCGAGAGCGGACCCCCTAATAATTGTACACGATCTCTTGACGCCTTGCTCGCCCGGCGATCCCAACGCAATTGAGATGACATGGATCGACGTCCCCGGAGAGAAGCTTCTGGAACCTGTAGTTTGCATGGTGGGCCATCCTTCAAGACTGCTGTGTTTACTCGCTTGTTCTGGTGAAATAATGCTCTCTATTGATTTGGTCTTTGCAGTCTGACATGCTGAGGTCTCTGTCCAACACCAAGCCCACCGTCAATGAACAGGATCTCCACAAACTGAAAAAATTCACAGAGGACTTTGGACAGGAAGGCTAGTTAGATTTGTTTCTGAAGCAGGCCAAACCAAAGCAAAATAATTGCAATGTTATATTTACTGTTTGTTTGAGTGTTGTTTTTTTTTTTTTTTCCTTTTCCCTTCTCATGATAACCATCACCAGAGCTCAGTCTCTCTTTGACAGCCTGATAACCACAGAAAGGCTATAGAACTACTTTTGATACTTATTCCTCTCCAAATACAATAAATACAATCATGACAAATTTAAAGGGGCGTTGGACTTAGAAAGGTGCAAAAATGAAAACCCAGGCTTCTTCTTTGGACTAGCGTTATGCACACACGTAGTTCTCGCCGTGGACAATTAAACGGCCCATCTCTGTTTTGTATGAATAAGCAACAAGCAATTTAGATTCTCATTTATTTTGTAGAATCATATATAGGCTGTAGGAAGAGAAGCAGCATTAGATTTCTTGTCAAACGTGTTCGTAATCTCTGATGTGTAGATATCACACAGACATTTTCGACTTGGTGAGACACTCTGGATGAGAGCTACTTTGGGTTGGGATCGTCTGTCCACTCACAATTGTATAAGTTGAATGGCTCACCAAAGGTGCCAGACCAGCATTATTTGAAACAAGGACTCTTGAGCTTTGTGTCACTCTTTTTATCACACCCTACTAAACATTTAATTTTTTTTATAATCGAACTGATGCTGGTTACTAACTGCTAAAAAAAAAGAAAATAAATTAAGCAAAGATAAGGTTGGATTGTGAATTTGGATGCAACACACTGAAGTTGGAGGTTTGTATGTAAATTGCGGCTAATAGATACATCTCCATTTAAAAGTGACGCTGTGCATACTGTGCCTTCTAGAGAAGCTGTTTATTTTTCTATGGGTTTGTCTCAATTTGTCCTTGTGCTTTACCATCAAAGTGCATCATTACTACTATAATTAAGACATGTATAAAACTTGCACATTTCCTGTACTCTCCTATACGTAATGTAAACTATTTTTCTTTGCGTTTTGATGGGGAAATCCTTTACACTATTCTATACCAATATAAAACAATTTTTGTCTCTGAGGTCAAGTTTTCCGTGTTGTACTCCCAGTTTTTTTTTCATTTCTGAAATGTAAATAAAATATAAATACGTTAAATGTGAATGTTACAATGTTTAATGTTTGGTAAATACGGTCACTCACTCGTTCAGTGGGTGCGTTTGTGCGGCAACTCTAATTTCCCATAGTGGAAGTAAAACATTGCATTATGGGAGCCGTAGTCCATTGACGGTCTCGGAGACAAAATTGGAAAACGAGCAGGCTGCTCTTGAGAACTACAAGTACCACATGCCTCTGGAAAGCCAGGGTTCAGTGGGCAAATTGTTTTGGTGAACACCGACTACACTTTGTGACGCTGAGCCAAGGTCCGACGCTGGATATTAAACCTACCCGTTACACACCTCTGAATATTTGACAATAGTTTTTGCGCAACCCTTCCAAATCATGCGTTACGCCTCCCCCCTGTGAGGGTCAGGAAATCCTTTACACTATTCTATACCAATATAAAACAATTTTTGTCTCTGAGGTCAAGTTTTCCGTGTTGTACTCCCAGTTTTTTTTTTCATTTCTGAAATGTAAATAAAATATAAATACGTTAAATGTGAATGTTACAATGTTTAATGTTTGGTAAATACGGTCACTCACTCGTTCAGTGGGTGCGTTTGTGCGGCAACTCTGATTTCCCATAGTGGAAGTAAAACATTGAATTATGGGAGCCGTAGTCCATTGACGGTCTCGGAGACAAAATTGGAAAACGAGCAGGCTGCTCTTGAGAACTACAAGTACCACATGCCTCTGGAAAGCCAGGGTTCAGTGGGTAATTGTTTTGGTGAGCACCGACTACGCTTTGTGACGCTGAGCCAAGGTCCAACGCTGGATATTAAACCTACCCGTTACACACCTCTAAATATTTGACAATAGTTTTTGCGCAACTCTTCCAAATCATGCGTTACGCCTCCCCTCTGTGAGGGTCGCCGTCCCCCTGTCGCCGCTGCGTAGTCGACCGCCGAAGCTGTCCAGCTAGTTAGCAAACAAGCTTTAGCACTGCCAGTCATCACCCATGTCCTCAGAAGAAAGCTTGAGCTCAACGATTACGGGCTGGCTTTTTGTTCATTCTTGGTGGCTGCTCCTGCCGTTCATCATGCTGCTGGTCGTCGCCGCCTTCATTGTGGCCTTCATATTGCTTTTGTACATGATATCGCCGCTGATTAGCCCCAAACCCCTAAAAATGAACGGGGCCCACGTCGTGGTAAGTCCACCGGAAAAGCATTTTGCATGCCAAATATGCACATCGAGCGCGACAGGGATGCCTGTTGTGTCGTTTTAATGTCACGAGGGCGTCCAAAGCATTGCTAGTTTGCTGTCATGCCGAGCGTCTTCCACGTCCTGACACTGGGGTTATCAAGCTGCAAGTTTAGGAAGTATAGTACTGTCAGCTACAGGCTATGGCATCTCACATGACCCGCATTTGAACGTGTATCGGATCATTGTGAGACTCATTCAGCAGCGCCCCACGTGTTTGTTGGTAAACATTGAATTAATTGTTCATCTTGCAATTTCCAGGTGACTGGGGGCTCCAGTGGTATTGGGAAATGTATAGCGATGGAATGCTACAGACAAGGAGCTTTTATTACGCTGGTGGCACGAGATGAGGTAAGCCTTTAGTTAGAAGTTTTGACCTGATCGTTGTAGTTGTAAAGACTAACAGGCGTCCACGATCACATTCACACGGATGGACAAATAAGAATCTTCAATGAGCATGTATGCTTTTGGAATTTTCGGGAAACCGATGCATGGGACGGGAGAAGATACGAACACCACACAAAACCTCAGAACTGTGCTAACTTTACACCACCTTTCTGCACAAATGCAGTTTTATAGCTACTGTATATTCTGTAATATTCTATCAAGAGAATAACTATTGCCATGATGTGATAGCGACTTCCCTAGTTTGTATTCAAGTCAGAATGTGTCATCGTCTATCGGTAACCCTCTCTAATGCAGGAGTCAAGTCATAATGTCCGTAATTGTATGAAGAACACTCAATGGCCATGAATCCACATCTAATGAAAATATGTTGTGCAGCTACAATTGCAACTGAGCATGTCCGCTTGTGCCACATGAGCACAATTTCTTATGCTGCTGTGAAAATGAGTTCTTTACGCGTCGGTTGTAACCTCGAAACGATGTATTTCGAGACGCTCGCCATGGTCCATTTGCTAACTTTTCTCATCAGCCAAGTGCTTGCCTTGCTTCTTGTCATTTTTATACCCCAAATGCTTTATATATTTTTTCAGTTCAGTGGTGACGCATTTGTCACTTTTTGCCGCATAACTGTAGCACTTTTTTTTTTTTTTAACTCCCACTTCAAGCTTTACAGGTGCCGCATCATTTGTTGCAATCATCTGTTGTGGCGCCGACACGTGGTGTTGTCCTTGTATGCACATAGGTGGCACCACCTGTTTTTCTGTTTAATTTGTGTTTAGTTAGTAGGTAATTAATTGGGGCAGGGCGTCGATAAGAATGAAGTCACTATTCAAGGCAGCACGCAGTGCTTGTACAGTCTGAAAGTGGATATTTACCTTCCTGTAGGCCAAGTTGATTCAAGCCAAGAAAGAGGTGGAGAAATTTGCCATCAATGACAAACAGGTATGATGTTTTACACATTTCTAATTCACCTTCAAACAAAACAAACATTTCAATTGCTCGGGTTCATAAAATTGTGAAAATGTCTCTTTGTCACTCAGGTTGTGCTTTGCATATCAGTGGATGTTTCCAGTGATTACAGTCAGGTCGAAAGTGTTATCAAACAGGTAATGCTTGACTTTCGTTTGAGCCGATGTCCTTTGCTGATGTACTGAAACGTGCTTTTGGACTTACGCAGGCTCAAGAAAAGTTGGGGCCTGTCGATATGCTTGTAAACTGCGCCGGAACGTCCTTATCCGGGAAGTTTGAGGAAGTGGAGGTAGATCGCTTTAAGGTGGGTTAACCCGGAGGGGCTCTCAATCTTCCTCACTTCCAATCGTCAACAAGTTTTTCTCATTCTGTTCACCAACAGAGGCTGATGGAAGTGAATTACCTGGGCAGTGTTTATCCAACACGTGCTGTCATAACCACCATGAAGGAGAGAAGAATGGGCCGCATCATGTTTGTGTCCTCCCAGGCGGGCCAGATCGGCCTGTTTGGCTACACGGCTTACTCGCCGTCCAAGTTTGCACTCCGCGGTTTGGCTGAGTCTCTGCAGATGGAGGTAAAGAGTTTAGACTGCAGGGGTGTCAAACTCATTTTTATGGCGGGCCGCATTGCAGTTACGTCTTCCCTCGGGGTTGTTTTGACTGTGAAACCACATAAATGTTTTTCTCATCTCATCGTATTATTCCATACACACAACAAATGGATGGACAGATGGTTTTGAAATCAAGAGTCAAAGATTATAGTTTGTTGAAGTTACTGAAAAAAGTGGAGGAAGAAAATATTGCAAAATCTCACTCTTTTTTTTTTTTTTTTTTTTTACCCATGCCGGTATGAAATTTTGGCACAGGTTTTAGCACGGATCCTGGAAGCTGACATGATTTGCTTTTGTGGGCCAAATAAGAGGATGTGGTGGACCGGCTCTGGCCCCCGGGCCTTGGGTTTGACACCTGTGGTTTGAGGCACTCCCGTCGAGACTTGATTCTTTCCATTTAACCCTTATACGATTCTCAATTTAGTGTAGAAAAAAACAATTTATCCGTGTTGCTCATCCCAAATAAACAACAAGAATTGAGCAATCATCAGGAAGAAATGGTTTTGTAATACGCTTTGAAAGCAAAATATTTGATTGATGGGTGGATTCTGTAAATATTCGTCATGACAGCCCTACTCCCTAGTCGTTTCTTAAACGGCTATCGTTGCGTTTCACATCACATTCACGGCGCTTGATGTCGACCGTCCCCATTGAAGATTTCCCATCATAAATATTGACCAGGTTTACCCTTTACGATTGTCGGCTGTGACGGTTTCGTGAGCCGATTGGGACGAACGCCGCTGCACAATCTTGCTCAGAATGGTCGTTTCGAAATGTCCATTTGTCTGCCATGTACTGGTTTTGATATGACGGGAGTTTGGGGCGGCAATGTTCAAATCCGGACCGATTATCAGTATGTGTGTAACCTCGCTTTGGTGAACCTTGTTGTTCCTCAGATGAAGCCCTACAATATCTACGTGACACTGGCCTTCCCACCAGACACAGACACGCCAGGACTGGTTGAGGAAAACAAGACGAAGGTAAACGTTGCTCCTACATGGGACCCGTTTCACATTTACCAGCTTGTTTTTTTTTTTTGTTGTTGTTTTTTGTTTTTTTAACACTTTCTGATTTCAGCCTCTGGAAACCAGATTAATCTCTGAAACCTCCGGAGTTTTTCCACCCGACCAAGTGGCCAAGATTGTTGTCCGAGATGCCGTGGTAAGAAGTGACTCTTGCTGCTCTGCATGGAGTATCCCAGCAGCTGCTCCAATGAAGCAGGGGATCAAAGTAAATACGAATGTCTGAATTTGTGAAGTGTAAGGAGTGTTGTTCTCTTTGCTTCCCGCAGCAGGGGAACTTTAACAGCTCCGTGGGTACTGACGGCTACATGCTATCAGCCCTCACATGTGGGATGTCACCTGTTACCTCCATCACAGAGGGTCTCCAGCAGGTACACACCTGAACTTTTGTTTTCCGGTTTTCTTTTGTGTCATGCTGTTGTTGTTGTTTTTTTTTTTTTTTTGGAAGAGTCTTGCAGCGTCTTGCCGAACTAGAGAAATATATTTTGATTCAAATCCATTCCGACAACTCCGGTCCCCAAGAGCCCCTGTCCTCCATGCTTTAGATGTTTGCCCCCCCTACACACACACACACACACACACACACACACACACACACACATCTGATTAAAAACGATTAGCTCATCAGCAAGCTCTGCAGAAACCCGATAACGATCTTGACCATTTGAATCGCGTGTGTTGGAGGAGGGAGCCATCCAAAACATGCAGGGGAGTTTATCACCTGAGCTTTACAATATTTCCCCTGGATCTTTTCTAGCTGAGGTCATCCGCATCTGTGATGGTTATTTCTTTGCAGATCGTCACCATGGGTCTGTTCCGTACCATCGCTCTCTTCTACCTGGGAAGTTTCGACAGCATCGTGCGCCGCTGCATGATTCAGAGGGAGCAGTCCAAGGCGGCCGACAAGCGAGAGTAACGGTCGCCGGTTCCCCCCGTCCGAAAAGGCCGCCATAGGCAGCGAGGTGAACGGACAGTGTGTTTACTCTTCGCGGCTTCACTCCTCGTCCCCTCCCTCTCACCCCGCAGTGAAATTTCACTTTTAACATGCACATGGCTTCTTGTCGCGGGAGCGGCCTTACTTTTAGCAGGTGTTTTTTGGTGTTGTGATAGTGGAGGGAGGCGACAGTAAAGCGTAGCGGGCCTCCCCCGCCTCTTCACGCGCAGGAAAAAGCATTATCCTGTCGGACCGGTTGTGCCAAATATGGCCTGACGTTCCCTCCCATGGGGGCTCTCGAGAAAACGAGACGGATTCATCACCTTTTCTCCCGGCGTTGCATGCTTCTAAAACATAGGGGCCACCGTGTTAGAAATGTGTTGTTTCACCCCAAGAAGAAGCTTCCTCAACCATCTCCAACCATTAAGTCTTTGCGGGCAAAGACCACTCAAGCGGACCACCGCATCGGCACCCTGACTGTTCCAGCTGCGGTTGCGTTTCAGGCATACAAATGGAATCGCGGTATGAAAAGAGCACGGAGTTTCCACCAAGCATGCCAGTAGGACTGGAACGATAGTGATCTGGCTCGCGTTTCCGTTGCTGTACGCTGTAAGCGTGACATCACAGCAGTCGGACGGGGGACCATTTTGTGCTTACTTCTTTCTTCTTGACTTGTTTATATCAAACAGAAGGAGAGAAAAAACATTTTCAGATCAGTGTCAGAACTCTTGTCAGTTTTAATGCCGTGGAAACACACGGATCAGAAATGACCCCGTCAGCTGTATGTCGTCGAAATAGACAGATTGTTCAAGTAACCACACCGGCAGCTGATCAACAACACAAATGACATGTTTAAAAAAAGCTGTAAATCAAAATTACGAGGGGTGCTTCAGGCACTATGATGTCAATGTAGGGCAACAGCAGGGGGCGGTGCTGTGTAAAATGCCCGCCTCTTTGGATGACTGAACATTTTCTGCTTCATTCCAACTCCATGAATGCAATATTAATCCGAATAGCGTGTTTTGATTCGTGGCTACACATATCACATATGACAACAATTGTTGACTGGCCTTGTCACTGCCAGCGTTGAGGCGCGTCGAGTTAATTACGGGCAATTTGTTCGCCTGTACGTGGGGCTTGTTTCATGTGTTCCATCAGTGTAAACAGCCATATGACATGCATCACTTGAATGTGCATGAAATAGACAGCCGTAAAATTGGAATTGGCCGTTGCAGTATAAAATCAGCAATTTTTTTTTCCTCTTTTGCCCAATCGACAGACTACAGTGAAGACTCCCTCCAAACCTTTAGGTTCTCTATCTCAAAGGATGGTATGGTATTATTTTGGCAGTAGTCAAAAGAAATGCAAAAATGAAACGTTTTATCCGACTGAACCGAATCGTGTTTGCTTGGTGGAAAGTGGATCATTAAAAAGCGGGCGTGTACGTCCGCGCGTGCTTGTTTTGTGACTGAGCCAACTCTCGTTGAGAGAAGAAAAAAAAAAGCCATTGGACATTTCGCATTTTCTTATCATCCCACTTCAATTCAGCAGGTTATTTGAAGGCACGGTGAACGAAAGCTCGAGTGACTGTTCACCACTCAAATACATGACATGACTCTTTTTTTTTATTGTTCTTCAAGCGTGCATAAGGAAGCTTCCGTGCAATTTTTATGTATCATTGCACAGATGATGCCATGCGGTCCGCGTTAACTTGGCACTGACCTAAATCAGGGCACAGTGGGACTTGCTGGTTCAAGTCATGCCTGTGCAGTCCTATTGGGGGCGCTAGAGATTTGTTTGACATGCAGTCTAGTGCACAAAACATTGTCCCACAGCTTTTGATGTCCTGCCAAGCACAGGTGGGACATCCCTCCTACCCCCAAACAATGAATGATTAAATATACTAAATTAATCAAAATGGTCTCCAACGTTGTGTTTTGTAAGTCTTCCTTTGATCAGGAATGTAATTTCATAAAAGTGTGAGCATGGGATTCTTCTTTTCACGCATGCTGATTAGTTGAATGCCAAAATGCGTTGTGACAATTCCTTTTAAGTCGTCTTTGGCGGGGTCACGTGGAGATAAGCGGCGACATGTTTGAACCAAGCCTTAAAATGTGACTGCTGATCAAGCGACCGCAATGCAGCCCGTCCACACTGACACGCCAATGATAGCAGCTTTTCATTGTAAGATGTCAAAACTTTTTTCGTTCGCTTGTTTTATCGCCGTGCGCTTGTATGTTGTCCATGACGAAAACCTCGCCCTCCGGAAATCCAAAAGATAAAAGTGAGTAGACGTGACTAGTGTTTGACGACGACGTCGTTCGATTTTTTCGGTTGAAAGGCGTGTCGGGCTTCTCTTGTTGCTTTCAAACGTCATGCTGTTGTCTTGCCATAGCAACTCATGCTGGCGCATCTCAGTCAATTAAAATATTGCATTCGTTTTAGGAGGGGAAAAAAAAATCCTGTTCAAATGCCTTTTTGTGTGTGTGTGTGTGTTATAAACGATCTCAAAAATCACTGTTTATATACATATCACACATACACCTCTGTGTGTGGCGAATCGATATTTGCAATATGAGTTTGCATTCTCTATTGAACGTCTATTAGAAATGAAGTTTTCTCCAATAGTATAATTCATTGAGGTGCGCCTGCAGTTAATGAGAACATGTAGCTTGCTATTTTAACACCATTCACCTATGCAAAGAAAAGCCTGCGCTTTCAACGTTTGAGCATTTAACTTTCAGGATTGGAGTCTTAAAATAGGCAGGCCGTGTTGCCACTTATCAGCAATTATTGACAGAGGCGATTTACGTTCACTCTTGTTTTTCTTCGTCCCCTTTCAACTGGCGTGCTATTAAAAACAACACGTCTGACGTAGAACGTTGCCGTTGTATTATTTCTGACAGTTGAACTGAATAAATACATGTGAGGAAAGTTCAACTCCCCATGTTTGATTTTTTTATATTACTTTTTTTTTGATGATGTTGATTATCATCCTGAGGGGATAAAACATCCTGATTTTGAACTGTCTTTCAAAAAAATCTACGAAAGTGTGAGGGCCACACTGAAAATAAAATCAAAAAATATATCTGCGTATCAAGCACTGTACTTTTTTCTTGGAAATTTACAACCTTCCATGTCATAAAAAAATGACTTTAATCTTGAACTTCCAACTTGATCTTTGTATTCGAATAATGTTTCCTCCTAATACACGGGGTAATCGCTTTAGTGCACCTTCATTTGCCACAGGACCACGTACTCTTATGCCACTGCAAAAATTATACTCCGTGTTCCGCCTTTCACTGCCAAACCTCATTTATCAGTACCCTTGTTACTTTATTCGCATCATTGTATCTTTTTTATAATACAGCAAACCCCCTTCATCACAGATTGTGGGTTCGCAGTCCCATTTCCCTTTTTTTTTTTTTTTTTTTTTTTTTTTGTACTGGTTAACTATTTTGTTCTGCCGCCTTTGTATTTTTGGGTGGAGTTGCACTGCTGACCACTAGATGGTGACACAATTTTTTTTCTGACAGATTTGAAAAACAAAAACAGAAGACAGTATCAGCTTTGCTGAAGCTATTCAGTGTCATTCAGTGGTGGTGTGTTTAAAGATCTAAAAAAAATTTCCGTAAATACTTCAAAAACATGCACGAGGGAGTATTTAAATAGGGTATTTCTATTATATTGCGGATTTCACTTCCTGCGGGGGTGGTAATGGAAAAAAAAAATCCCAGCGGGGGAGTGGAGGTTTCCCCTACACGTTAACCCAATAATCTCGTTTTATGATCTGCTACAGTGCGACAGTCGGCCTCTTAGAAGCCTTGTAGTCTTTTTTTTTTCTTTTTGAAAATTTAAATATTCCGTTTGTGCTGGAGAGATGTTAATCTTCCTTGAAGGGGTTTTCCAGATCTGCATAAAATGGACTATTCCAGACGCTCTTTTTTTTTTTCGTCCCAAAGGAGAATAATACTTCATGAAGACGAAGCCAGATAATTCATTTTCACAAGAAGTGAGCAGAATTGACTTAAGGGACACGAGGCCTGGCTCTCCGTTCACCTCTTGCAGCCAAGTAGATAAATGGATGAAGAATCACTGGACTGGTTGTCGGTCAGCCGTAGGGCACCTAGACAAAGAAAGCTTTCACACTCACATTCACACTGGACAATCCAGTCTTCAATGAACCTAACATGTTTTGGGAATGTCGGGGAATCCCAAGCATGCTTAACCACATACATAGGAAGGCCAGAACCCAGATTCGGATCCCGAACCCCACACCTGCGAGGCTAACCACTACCTCACACCGCCCAGGATGATCTTAATTATCCTCATAAAAAATTTAAAAAAATCAGCAAACGTGCAGACATTACCCATATGGCTTCTGAGCATGGATTTGAATGCAAAGAATGATTTTGTGTGCAGTTCCTCACGTACACATGGAGGCTCCAGAGCGCAGCCAAAGGTTTGACTTTGCGTACGTGACGTCAAAAATAGCTCACGCGCAAAGAGCAGCCCACTGGCGGAGCAGCAGCAGCAGGAGGAGGAGGAGGGCTCTGTATGGAAGTGAACCTCGCCAGTGGTCTCAGAAGTGTAGCTCACTCGCCGCCTCAACTAACCGTCGGCGACGCGGCGCTTGAGCGGCCATTCTGGCGCAGACAACTTTGCGCCCCATTTTTCCCCTGCGCAACTCATCCACGTCTGACTGGTGCGCGCTGGGAATACATCCGCAGCCCCTCCAGCCTCTTCCGCGTATTGGATTTCCATGCAAAGACAAGCTCGCCAGTGTGCCTCGCAGCTTTTTGCAGGGACTTTTGCAACCTTTTATTTCGTCCTCGCGCGTGGGATTTAGGCGTCGACTCGGTTCGCTTCGGTCGCGCTCCACTTTTGGATGAGCCCCAAGCAGAGCTGTGCATCGACTGGATGCACGATGCGTTTTATTTAAGAGCCAAATCCGAGAGTACAAAGTGCCAAATTAAGCCCAGATGGCGAACGAGCGAAATCGCACCATTGTGGAGAATTATATCTGCCATAAACTCTCCAAACGCGGCTACGCGTGGGGGTTCGGTGCCGCTCCGGAGCAGGGGGAGGAGGACGATGCCGCCGCTGCTAATAACGGCTTATTGGTTGCACCCTCGCCGACTTTGGTGCTCCGGTGCCGCGAAGCCAGCTCCGGGCCCGAGCGCGACTGCGCCCCCAAGCGAAGCCACGGTTCCGACCCGCTCGCCGATATCCACCGGGTCCTGCGTGAGGCCGGCGACGAACTCGAGAGACTTTACCAGCCGGATTTCACCGAGATGTCCCGACAGCTGTACCTCTCGTCCACTACAGCTCAGAGGCGGTTCGCCGAGGTGATCGACGAACTGTTCCGGGACGGCGTCAACTGGGGCCGGATCATCGCCTTCTTCGAGTTCGGCGGCACCGTGTGCGTGGAGTGCGCCACTAAGGAGGACATGACGTCGCAAGTGGACAACATAGCCGAGTGGATGACTGAGTACTTAAACGGACCCCTAGGCAGCTGGATCCAAGACAACGGGGGCTGGGTGAGTGTTATTCGGTGTACTGTAGTCTTTTTTTTTTCCCTCGGTACCGCTGGAGCATAGCTCCTCCGTCGCTGTTGTGAGTTGAAGGCGTGTCGATCCGCGATTATGCGAGTGCGTCTGCGTGTGTTTGCAGATGTGACCTCACACGCCACATTATATCACGTTTGTAGTTAGGGCTTGCCAACGAAAAAGCTCGAGATGTTCCCATTACGCACGAAGGCGCAGAATGGGCGGCCCCCACTCCTGCGCTTCTCTGATTGGATAAAGACCTTGGCCGTCAAGTCAATCCGACCAATCAGAGAGCGAGCTGTGTCACACCTCCCGACGCTCTTCCTAAGCTCCGCCCCGCTGACGCTGAGGAAAGACTGGCAGTCACACAGAGCTGCAGTCTGCTCGTACCACGACCTTTAAGGACCCCGAATACATTTTCTAATCAACTTTAACATCAAAATGCTTCAGAATGTTTCAACCTTACAAAAGACTACAGTCTTGTAAAACAGTACTGGCTTGAATCATAAACAAGTGATGAAATGGCCTGTGGCTTGGGTGGTTTTGACTTTTACAGCTTTAGCACATAACTTTTATGGACTTACTGTGAACATCCAGCATTCTTCTTGACATGTGGCTGTTTTATTGGAGGACGCGTCCAATTCCATTGCAGTTGTCGCAAGGAAATGATGATTTGCAGTGACAGTTCTAGACAATTTTACCTGGGGTGGCAAAGGGTGTGTGTGGGGTGGGGGCGGGAGTTCAGTTGCAGGAGGAGAATAATGTCTGCCATAACCTCTCCAAACGCGGCTACGCGTGGGGGTTCGGTGCCGCTCCGGAGCAGGGGGAGGAGGACGATGCCGCCGCTGCTAATAACGGCTTATTGGTTGCACCCTCGCCGACTTTGGTGCTCCGGTGCCGCGAAGCCAGCTCCGGGCCCGAGCGCGACTGCGCCCCCAAGCGAAGCCACGGTTCCGACCCGCTCGCCGATATCCACCGGGTCCTGCGTGAGGCCGGCGACGAACTCGAGAGACTTTACCAGCCGGATTTCACCGAGATGTCCCGACAGCTGTACCTCTCGTCCACTACAGCTCAGAGGCGGTTCGCCGAGGTGATCGACGAACTGTTCCGGGACGGCGTCAACTGGGGCCGGATCATCGCCTTCTTCGAGTTCGGCGGCACCGTGTGCGTGGAGTGCGCCACTAAGGAGGACATGACGTCGCAAGTGGACAACATAGCCGAGTGGATGACTGAGTACTTAAACGGACCCCTAGGCAGCTGGATCCAAGACAACGGGGGCTGGGTGAGTGTTATTCGGTGTACTGTAGTCTTTTTTTTTTCCCTCGGTACCGCTGGAGCATAGCTCCTCCGTCGCTGTTGTGAGTTGAAGGCGTGTCGATCCGCGATTATGCGAGTGCGTCTGCGTGTGTTTGCAGATGTGACCTCACACGCCACATTATATCACGTTTGTAGTTAGGGCTTGCCAACGAAAAAGCTCGAGATGTTCCCATTACGCACGAAGGCGCAGAATGGGCGGCCCCACTCCTGCGCTTCTCTGATTGGATAAAGACCTTGGCCGTCAAGTCAATCCGACCAATCAGAGAGCGAGCTGTGTCACACCTCCCGACGCTCTTCCTAAGCTCCGCCCCGCTGACGCTGAGGAAAGACTGGCAGTCACACAGAGCTGCAGTCTGCTCGTACCACGACCTTTAAGGACCCCGAATACATTTTCTAATCAACTTTAACATCAAAATGCTTCAGAATGTTTCAACCTTACAAAAGACTACAGTCTTGTAAAACAGTACTGGCTTGAATCATAAACAAGTGATGAAATGGCCTGTGGCTTGGGTGGTTTTGACTTTTACAGCTTTAGCACATAACTTTTATGGACTTACTGTGAACATCCAGCATTCTTCTTGACATGTGGCTGTTTTATTGGAGGACGCGTCCAATTCCATTGCAGTTGTCGCAAGGAAATGATGATTTGCAGTGACAGTTCTAGACAATTTTACCTGGGGTGGCAAAGGGTGTGTGTGGGGTGGGGGCGGGAGTTCAGTTGCAGGACTGATGTTATATAACACACACTGCACACAAATTCTGGTTTCAGGTTTTGCATTCCCGGCATGTTTTTTCATGGGGGAGGATAAAGAGTGTTTCTGTGTGTGTGTGTATGTGTATGGGGGGGGGGGGGGGGTGGGGGGGGGTCGGTTTGTTCCATTTATGCTAAAGGAGCGTGAATATTGTTCAATAAATCAGCGCATCCTCGTTTTTTCCCCAAATGCTTACCAAAATGCAATTTGGCTGCAGCACTCTGCAACAGCACGGATGTGCGCCGCCAATCAAAATGCCAGGTTGTATCACATTACCGCCCCCCAAAAAAAAAAATCACTGGACAAAAGAAAAAAGGGAAGACTTGATAGAATTATGGCATGCACAGCTGCCTTTCCTCTCTTTGTATTCTCCACCGACAGGGAAATATAGCTGCAGCTGTCAGGGCAATCCGCTTTTTCCTTGACAGTGACTCACAATGTCGCATGTGTTCTACTTCAGAAGGCTGATCGTCGGTAGGGCTCTAAGGGTCAGCCGCTGACTGCAATTCGACTTTTGCCCATATCGCTTGGTGTGCGGCTGGCATGAGCTTCAGGTGAGCTCGCTATATGTTTGCATCAGTCATGTAGTGGAGATTCGGAACCATCCACTCTGGCACGGAACTCCTTCGACCGATCTGTGAGGAATTAGCATCTTCATTAGTAGAGGGGCCTTTAATGAGAACATAACATTTGTGGCGCTTGCTTATTTTGGCCTGCGGGTATCGGATTTTGGAGTGGAAGCGAGGAGGGGGGGGCATCAATGATTCATTTGAAGGAGTCCATCTTACCGTTTAACATTCCCCTTGAGTGTGTGTGTGTGTGTGTGTGTGTGTGTGTGTGTGTGTGTGTGTGTGTGTGTGTGTGTGTGTGTGTGTCTTTGCCAGGTTGCATGTTGTGCCACATATCAAAGGCGGCTCGGCCTTCCAGCAGCATAGGCGCTAATCCAGAGCTTCCGCCAGCGCCGGGCTCAAACCCATCCGACTTGTGCTGGTCCTGAGCGTTCTTTTTCTTTGGTGCGATGACGGGCTGCTGAGATAGCTGGTGAATGTCTCCGGCGCCTACGGGACAATAATGTAGGTCATCTTCCAGGGTGCTTTGCAGCTGCGAGGAGATGACGATCGGTGAGAGACAGAGAAAGAGGGAGAGCATCCCATGGATTAGTCAGGATTATCTCTCAGTGTAGATGTTTGTGTGACCAGTTTGGCATACTGAATTTACAAAGTTCATGTCCGTAATATTTCAAGGTTGTTTTATACCCAGGCTAGGTGTAGTTGTTGACTTGTTTGTTTCCTGATGCTGCTGAAATTGGAGTAATTCTCATCCGAACGTATTTTTTGGACTGCTCATGGATATTTTGTCCACAAGGTGGGGGAAGATCCAGAGCCACTTTCAAGCAACAGTTGAAGACCATATATAATTTACGATGCTGTCCAAGCTGTATCGAGTTTTGTTGGATGTACAGTCGCATACTTGGCTGCATGGGGAAGTGTCGTGTATGAAGTGGTGCCTCCATGGGTGAAAATAGTGTAATTATCTCCACTACTGTTCACTTTTCTCTGCTTTCGTAAGTAGGAGCCACTTGCGTGCCTGCTTCAATTTCTGAGCTCCGCCCTGGTTGCCACGGCAACATAATCCACATTCGCCATTGGCCCAGCGTTATATGGTGCAGGATGTTCAGTCGCTCACTGGCGTGGGCTAATTTCAGGAGGGCGAGAAACAGGTTGCGTAACATGTACTACAAGTCTTGATGTCACAGACGTGTCATTAAAACACCTATAAACAGTTTTATGAAAAAAAAATCCCATTTCTCTCCTTTATTCTAACATACCCCTTGGGCACAGATACCATCTGGTTGGTTCCATTTGTGATCACGTTGATATTCATGCAGTAACTTTATAAAACATCGCATCCAGCGTGAAAATTCTTGTCAGCTCTTAACATAACATGGTAGCTCATTAGTGATGTGATGTCGCGGTTCACAGAGGGTCCATTTCCTGACTGTGGGTGGACATTCCATTTCAAGTCAGCTGGCCCAGGCCCTGTCATGACCTCAAAGCAGATAAGGCGGACAGAAAAAAAACCTCACTTCCTTGTTCCAACTTGTGCTGCTTCACATGAACTGACCCCTTTTTTTCATCTTTAATCTGCTTTATGCGGATTAAAAAAATGTGCTACATTTGTCCCCTTTTGCACTGGTTCCATCTATTTAGGTACTTATATGCCATCTGCCAAATGACACACAATCGGGATGATACTTCAGTCGCTCGGATTTGACCTTAAAACATTTTTTAAAAATTGTTATTTAGTCTCTTGTTCTGTGTTTTAAACTTTTTTTTTTTTTTTTAACCTGGAGGCCAATCAAGCTTTTGGAAACACGACAGTGGCGTGGAAACAGCGGTCTGTCAGCCACCCTCTGTTTCCTGTTGTTTTAGGACCAACTCAATCCAAATATGGGAGCAGCTGCTAATGGTTGCTGAGCCAAATGCACTTTTAGTTCCACAAAATTTGCCCACTGGCCTTTACAAAGCGTTTGCTGTGTCATTTCGCATTTCGCTGACTCCCTCGACGCAAATGTGTCCTCGCTTTTGACCTGAATATTCGCTTTTCTACCTGGGGGAGGAGTGAGTACTTCCTTGTCAGTGAGGAGACGACGGCAGTGAGGCGACGGCTTCACCTGCACGTGTTGCAGTTGTGTTTGTTTGTAGGCTTCTAAAATGGCAACACCTGGAGCAGGGATGCCCAAGTCTGGTCCGCTAGAGCCCCCTCTCCAGCCTGTTTTCGATGCCTTCCTCCTTTAACTTGGATATTTCTGAGATAAAATGACACATATTTATAGTTTTGGGGAAAAAAAACGTATCTTTTTCAGAAAAAAGTTACTGGTCAAGGAATTTGTATAAAATTTTAAAATCAGAGATGCAAGTAAATTTTGAAGATGATTTTTTTTGGGGGGCGCGCTGATTCAGAATCTGGCCTCGTTTTTTTTTTTTTTTCTCTAACGTACACATAATTAAATAACAATAATAATATGTATTTCGTAATCCATTTAGTAATGTTTATGAATTAAGGGCTAAGTTGAGCGACAGGAGACATCGGAGCTATGAATTACAAGGCATGTTAAAATCCAGTTTGTGCAAGCTTTTATAAGTAAAAAAAAAAAAATCCACAACCTCGTGATCTGAAGAGAACAAAAGACATTTTTTTTAAAAATCAGTATCAAAAATACATTTAGGGACACATAAAGCCATCTCTGAATAATATTTGCTGTTGACCAGCATTATCGAGAGAAAACTTTTGAGAGAAAAAGTCACACTGCATATTTTTGGGAAAAGAAAGAATATATTTCCAAGATTTCTTTATGGAGAAAAAACAAATGTCCCTACCCCCACCCCCTGCAAGAAACAAACAAACAACAAAACATGAATTAATTTTAATATTATGAGCTTATCGCTGGCAGTGGCTCAAAACCGCCTATGTCACAATTTGGTACATGTGACATTTTCAATGTGACCCCAATACTGCTTTGTTTTCATTCCAGTGAGAAAGGAAGGAGTTAATGTACCTGCATGAGCGCCTTTTTTAACGAACTTGGATCAGGTTGCCGAAAGGAATGCAGTAAGCTGCCAGGTGGTCTATTTCATTGCCGGGGGAGAAGGGAACGGGGTTGGGCGGGTGGGGGTGGGGGGTCAATTCGATGCATATTGATGCCAGTTGACAGGTGAGCCTTGCATGTTGCCACAATGCGGCAGGCATCTGGATCGCCAAACCCCGCCCCAGCGACCAACCCCGGCCTCCTCCAACTGAGGCTGAGTGGTTGTGGGATGGCGGAGGAAGTCATTAATCTCCATTTAGGTGACACGTTGAGTAACGGTGGAGCAAACTGGCAAAGGAAGCTCATTTAAACACTCGCGGGAGGGCCAAAATAAAAACCTCACTTATCTCCAATTTGCATCTCCCGGACCGTTTAACGCATCATCGGCGCCGCCAAGCACCGTTCGGGTAGAATCCATTCAAACGTGTCCCGGCAAGTGATCACAATATATGCCCGTTGGATTTGTTTGATTGTAAAATCACAATGCACGAGGTCAAGGTGTTTCAAGTGCCGCTGCGTCTCCTGGACCAGCAAGACTTAGCCGCAATGCATGTGGACTGTAACGGCAAAAATCTTCCCCAAACCGGAATGGGTCCTTCCTTGCTTTTAACTTCTGCCACCACT